GGGGTCCTGAGCAACCCCCACAAGGCTGGAGTCCCGAAGCCCCCACGAGGTTGGAATCCTGAGCAACCCGCTCAGAGTGAGGAGCCCGAACCCCCCTCACAAAACGGAGAAGCCGGACAGCCTCCTTGCGAGACTGACTGTGGAAAAGCGCCCGTAGAGCAGCCATGCTCGCAACCTTGCGACGGTGGGGATTGTCAAGCGAGCTGTTAGAAAGAGCAATAAAAATGGCTTTCAGAGATACTAAAATCTCATTCTCTCATCGATTGATTTCTTTAGCCCCGTTTTCTCCGAAGATATCGTTTGATGATGAAAAACTGCTTTTAGTGGAGCCCCGCTTCCCGGGTGAGCCTCTACGGATGAAGGCTGAGCGGAGGGTCCAGGCATCCGAAGCGAAGCGGAAGTCATCCAAATATTGACACTGACCGGATGATGTTTCATTCCCAACGTCGGAGATGAAGGGATATATGTATCCAGGAAACTCTACATCGGCGTCAACGACAAGGCACTGTTTATCCCAGACTCGTACACGTTGATGAAGTCGCGAAATTCGAGACGCGTATACGCACATAAATGGAGCTCTCCTCTGGGATCAGTGGTCCGGTCGAGTCATTCAGGATGAAGTTCTCGTACATCGCGGTCGGCTGCGCAGTGTTGGCTCTGGCTAGCGGTCAGCGCAACCCGGTCGATGAATCCATCGGGAATCTTGTAACCTTGTTCTCGCATCTCACCGCAGCCGTGACGAACGACAATGAATTCGCATCGCTTGGACCTCGAGTTTATCAGAACGTTCGGACTACAGTCCTGAGAACTGTTCAGCAAGCGGCTTCACCCGGATTGACGGCCGCTAACGTTCAAGGAGCCGCTCAGGGCGCGGTCCAAACAGTCCAGACATTGGGATCGGCCGTCAGCAACCCGATGGATTTACTGTTCACGAGACTCGTTATCCCGCTCATGCAACTCGCTCAGACAGGTCAGCCGGCTGATACAGACTCCGACGCCGGAGATTCCGCCGGAGCGGACTCGGACGACAGGAGGAGGAAGTAGTCGGATCTGATGTGGATCGAGGGTCTAATGTGGCTCTGCTAGGTCATGTTTGGATCGAATTCGAAATATAACTGTCCTCTTTGCGAATGATTCACTTGTATTTTTCGATTCCGATCTCGACGTTGTGCTGGACTTAAGGTTCTGCATCTGAATTGGGTTACAGCTCCTGATTTTTCACCCTCTCCTGAATCAAGAAGCGATAAGCTCACACAATTCACAGAGAAATGGGAGCCCTCGGCCCAGTTACCCTCGCGGACTTCGTGACTTTTCTCTTTGACTAACGAGGAACACAACGAGGGAATTTTCCAGCTGCCTTCGACAGAATCGGGAAGTTAATTTTTCCGTTGATAGTTACTCCGACAACCCTTTCGAGAATGCTACGTAGAACGAGCGTAGATACGTGTTCCTTCGCTGCGTGTAGGCGTGCTTCCTCCAGAGCCTAGCATCTCATTCGATATTGCGCTTGGCTGGGGTTTCGAATTTATCGCGCGAGGGAATCCCCGGAATCGCCACGAAGTCACGGGAAAATGCGGAACATCGCATGATTTACTTGAAATCGCGGTTCCAGGAAGCAGAATTCTGAATCACCGAATCAACTTCAGAATGAATTTTTGTCCCTCCTTTGATACGTAGTGGCGGCTGGCGAGACCACTCCCTCTTCGGAGAGAAGCTTGAACGAGAGCAGCAATCGGAGCAAGGCCTTCAGGGAGTCCTGCAAGTTTTACTATTTTCGATAATTCTCCTCTACTGGCAACCAGAAACTACGGATTGCGACGTGTCGAAACGCAACAGATGGAGTTGACACTTTTAGAGCATGGCTTCGGCAAAAGACGTTCGACGTCGCACTGAGTAAGTGTTGAGCCGTAAACTGCAAACACAGAACTCCGCTACGGCGTGCGATGTAACACTTGAGCCTGGAGAAACGTGTCAGTCACGGTAATGATGACCCGGCCTCTGATCGCGACCGTGGGGAGAGATAATTCACTCACCGTAGATTAAGGGACGCTCGTTCCCGCGGAGGCGGGCGACTTCGCTCGTTCCTTCTCGGTGAGAAAAAAAAAGTTAGTCCGAACCCACGTGGCGACATCTTCCGGTACGCGGGAGACGATGTTTCGATGGAAATGGTTGCTAAACACAAGCTTGAATTCCGCGAGCTTCAAGCCGTGGTCAGTCCAGTCGTCCTCACCTCTAATTCCGGGGCGGCGCACTTTCGTTTCGCTTCCATTGAGTGGCGCACGCAGACGTTGGCGCTGTTCCAAGGGGAACGGGGAGATGGGCCTGTTGTCTCTGAAGCTGCAATGCTATTCCGTCGTCGAATTCCTGATTGAATCTCACTCGGCGAGATGAGCTCTTCCGCGTGCCTCCTTCCGATTGCTGTGACTCCAAGACGCGACGGCGTTCGGATCGCTCCAGGCATCCTTCAGAACCCGTTTGCCGCTAAAAGGCTCGCGAAGGCGACGCATGCAAGAAAAATAATTTGCGACCCGTAAGTTCCTTTCTGGTGCGGAAGTCCTCCGCGGAGCTGAATCACGCTTTGGGAGTCTTGTCGAAACGCGTTGAAGATTAGTACCTACTCGCAGTCCTCATCGTAAAAAAGTCCGAATGCGCTCGAGGGTCTATCACAAAATCGCAGAGTTTTCGCAGCTCAATGTCACTCCTACCGGGCGACGGGAGAGGTTGTCGTCGCCGAGGATCCTATGAAAAATTCATGCCTCCGAACCCTTGCCGATTTCTTCGCAGCTGGGGATCACGGTGGAGGTCAATGCGTTCTATTCTCTACTCGAGTTGCATATTCAGCCTACGGCCGAGCTTTCACCGAGGCGAGCTCCTCAAACACGTTCTCATCGCCCTCTGCGAAAGTTTTCCGAGCTTCTGAGAAGTTCGAGTTCGTGGCTCGTTACCTGAATGCGCGTCGGGCAGGAGATCGTTAGAATCAAGCGAAAGCGGGCGCGTCTTATCAGGATGTCGCCGTCGAGGATGAGCGAGCGCAATCACTGTGATCATTGATTCGATCACGTTCGAACGTAACGACCTAATCGTAACGTACCCAGTCTGATTTGGGATCGACGCTCGAATCAGTCGAAAACCCGGCCCGCCAGGCTTCGCGAAAAGTTAGCCCTCGGGAGCTCGGTCGAGCCTATACCTTCGTCCGCGACCCCCCGATTCTGCGATAAGATTCGCCTCGGAGAGCTCTCACGGATATTATCCCTCTCGGTGAGGGTCGGAATTCTGAGCGGAAAATCAGCGAAGCTGTTCTGCTCAAGCCGCTGATTTACACTCACCACATTAAGGCCGACAGCGCATCTCAACGAAACCGGTCTCCGTGGCGTGGAAGCCGAGACCCCCGGTCTGATGCTTCATCAGTCACGGAGAGGAAATCGATTCGAGAATTTTGGGGTTGTGCTCCGAGTCCAGAGCCGTCATCGTTCCTCCGTTCTCGAGGGACAGATTGACTCCGAGACCGAAACACTCATCGACGGTCAAATCGATTCCCTGGCTTAAGAGAATGAACGTGCTCGAGGTTCTCTGAGCGGCTTCAAGGTGAGATGTCTGAGACAGTCTGCCAATATCGCACCACAAGCCAAGAGATCCTTGTCAGACGGCGTTCCCATGTGTACGTCTGTTGTTGCTCGTCACCAGTTGTCAGTTCCGAACGGATTCCGGAAATGAAGAATGGAATCAGCCCTGCGGCGCGGCTTGAAGAACGGGACTTCGCTCGGCCGTGGCTTGTGGATTCTACTCCGTCATTCAACCCAAGAGAATCGGGATTGAAACCCGAAGGAAATACCACGGGACCTCCCACGGATATCTCGACAAAGCACAACCCTTTCAGTCGCCTGCGGCTGGATCCGAACAGGCGATCTCTCGCACGATTCAGCGGCCTATAACGCAGCGGAAGCGCTTATAGTGCGAATCTGCAGCTAAGGGGCGGAGCGCTATAACCTATCCGGCCATCAGTTGGTCCAACAACTTATACTGTGTGAGGTGAACTCGGATATTTTCGCATCGTCAAGAATCGTCCCTAGAATCGTCCGGCTCTACGCAGTACCGAGTTCCGTGAACTAGATTCGGGAAGCGTCTCGACTCCAATCTGAAACGAGTCAGAATTCTGAGAAACGGAGTATCCAGGAACGAGGACACCTGAACTTGACCTGGGAGGAGGAGGTCTCTCAGAAAATACGTCGTAGTCGAACATATCAACAGATTGGAAGGGGTAGGCAAGCCACGAGCGCTTGTCTGGCGACTCTTAAACACAGTGGTTGGGCTCGCGATTCCACCGACAGATATCAATCTCCACTTTCCACCGCTTGGTCGCGTGTGCTCCTTCCGGACAGGATTCCCGGTCGTCGAGATAGAACAGTCTGCCACACCGTTCATCGAGCCGTTTCGAGTATTCGTTTCGCTCTGGGAGCCGATGCTTGGAATGAGCAATGTAACCTCTTTCGAGATTTGTTGGCCATAGAGGTGGAAACCCCGCTCGAGGCCTCGGAAGGAATCGACTGCTAACGAGACCAAAGATAGATTCGATGGATGCTAATGTGAAATTTCCCAATCCCTAGCCTCTCTGGCCGATGCATTCTAATTGCCAGAGGGACGGGGAAACGAGAACGAGGACCTGACGGCAGCTCTTTGAAAGGTCGGCGACTTCGTTGCTCACATCTAAAAGGGCGAATTATGCGTTTATTATGTAACGAGCCAATCCCCGTCAACTATCAATCGGATGCATCTCTCCTACAAAGCCTCGCGGGGCTTGGAGTGTTCGCGGAGAGTCATACGATAGGTGGGATCTCTGGGAAAATTTTTCAAATTCACTGCGTCTAACTCCGCGTCTTTTGGAACGAATGCGCGCCGTACACGCTACCTCTCCCGATCTGACTGACTGAGACACGGAACGCTGCCACCAGCGGAGAGGATGGTCGCTTCTCTCCACCGTCGGACATTTCGTATATTATCAAAGGGTAGCCGTCGCGCTGTCCTCTATGCCGGAACTTTTCTGGTCGTTAAGATCGTATTGGTACAGGAAAATGGCTCCAGTTGATAACCTTACGTGTGTCCTCCACGCGAAGGGGGATATGCGACTCGTGAGTACGGTTCACTTCTCCGCTGACGGAGTGAGGAGCTTCGCTCATGAAGCGACCTGCCAGTGACACTGACCGACCTTGGACAGGATATTTTCGGCGGGGGATGTTCCTCCTGGAATATTTCCTAGCCTTGGACTCTTCGATTTGGGCCTTCGTCTCGACTTCTGGGACAGCGGTAGCGTGCGGAGCTCGGATCGAGATTTCTGATTCATCCTCTGATGTCGTGTTGTGTCGGTGAGCGGCCGTCTCCCCGCAAGTCAGAGGAAGGTCCAGTGGACATGCAGCTTCCTGACACGATTCTCGATGTTTCTCTCATTGTCTGCATGCCCCGTCCGCTACCCCTGCGCATAGCACCGCGAAGCTGATGAATTCGTGGAGCGCTCCGATAAGGCTCTGCCGACTTTCCGTCACCGGCTCGCTCTTAGAGGTTACAATCAGGCGGTCGATAAGAGGGTGATTCTACAGATTCTCGAGGTCAGCTTTGTTTCGAAAGGTGGATCTATCTTCTAAGGGGCGTGTCGGCGATAGGTGAGGGAATGCTCCGCTTGCTGTCCTGACTTCTGGATTCGAAGCTCGTCATCGAAATGAATGAGGCTATTGATTCGGGACGGACTGGATACATGAAGTTTAGACTCGTTCCGTGGAAGAACTCACGCATCGCGAGGAAGCTACTCGTCACAGGGCCCATTCTCAGATGAATGGAGAAAATCTCAAAAGAGTTGAAATCGATTGGAGCAAAAATCTGCTCAATTCCACGCGGAATAATTTTGCATCGGTCGCGAACTCTCCCGGAACCCTATCGAGAGGATTGGGCGCACAATCAGTTGACTGCGAGTGCTTTCGACCTAATGGGCGGCCGCTGTTCGACTTTGCAGAAAACCGCATATTTCATGAAAAACCGCGCTTATCGACTTCGACTTCGGTTTTTCGCTATCCCCCATGGTGTCCCATGTTGAATGAAAGTCGGGATCACGGTCGATAACCGCCAATGCAAAGCCTAGTCGCAACGCGAACTCTCGAATAGGGTGACGACTTTTAGATCAGTAGATTGATTGAGTAAATTCATCATGAAGTGACGATGTTTTCCCCCCATAGGAGCAAACTTCCGTGCCTGAGCCCAAGGGAGGAGGTGAGGTTGCCGTTTTCATTCGCATTTCCTTAACCCTATCAGAACAACCCCGGTTGATGTCTAACTAGTGGTAGAGAACATCATAGCAACTAACGTCAGTGATCGGAAAGCGCAGAGAATAATGAGCAACCTCTCTTCTCGAACAGAGGTTCAAGTCAGTATCAAGAGTACAGGAATTTGTGGCTCAGACGTTCATTATCTGGTCCATGGAGCCATCGGCCCGTTCGTGGTCACTGAACCGATGATTCTCGGCCACGAGACTGCCGGCATCGTGACGAAAGTTGGGCCCGAAGTCACCAATGTCAAAGTTGGTGAGTAACTCTCTAATCTCGATACCGAAATAGTTCTTGTGCTTATTAGCTCCCGAATGAGAATACCGAGCGTGGGAGCATGCTCCCCTCGACTCGAGAAGACCTGATTGATAATAATACTCTCTATATCGGTGTCTTGGCACCGGGAAGAAGAGTTTTCGAGCTGGGCCTGTCGGAGACCCTTCTCCGCAGTAACGGATCTTCCAAGCAGAAACGCGAACGAGTACATCTGTCCATCTGTCAAGGGGGGATGAAGTTTACTCGCTTCCTGGAACGAATTTTTTTAGCTTTGTGAGCCATAACACTCCCTGTCGCGAACAATTACGGAACCATCCCATTCGGGCGTCGAGCCGCATCTCTCGTTCCGTCTCACAAGAATCGTATTCTTGGTTTCCCTCTTCCCCGAGTCGGAAAAGAGAAACATAGTCGACCGCGAAGGTGTCTAACAAATCGACTTCGTATGCTGATTCGAGGCCGGGAATGATTTCTGAACCTCGACTTGATGAAATCGATAGACTATCCCTGGCGGATTCAATCTTGGCGGCTTCTCTCCATCGGATCTGTATGATCGCGAAGACCGTTTCGCTCTTCGGCCAATTTCGCTGAAACGGAAAGCGAGAAAAAAGGGATCAATCGGTTTCCCGCATTTTTCCTCGCTTGACGTATCGGATTCGAGAATCGAGTCACCGCTCAAGGACCCACCACTTTTCCAGGCGACCGTGTGGCATTGGAACCGGGAGTCAACTGTGCGCAATGTGCAGATTGCCGCTCCGGACGCTATAATCTTTGTCAGAAGGTGATTTTCTGCGCGACTCCTCCTTATCATGGGACCCTCAGGAGGTTTTACTGCCACCGAGCCGACCTCTGTTTCAAGTGAGTTCCTCGTAGCTGCTCGTCAGGAGCATCGAAACGTATACTACCTATTTCCCGAGGCCAGAACGTTGCTTGACGCATTGTCATGGACTCTTTTCAAGTTCCCTCGATCGGAACCTCGATGCAGGAAGTCGTTGATGGTTGACCGAAGCATTAGAACCCACCACATGGGTCCCTTGGGTCGTTAAAGAGTTCGATCACTTCGTAATAACGCTTCGCTTGCCATGACTTCTCCGGGGACGGTTCGTGGGCACACGCAGCTCTAACTGCTTCCTGGAATTTCCCAACTGACACGAACGGTCGCTTACAATTATTCCTGTTCCCTGTCAAATCGAAAATAGGCATCTGTCAGAGTCTTTCTTCGAGCGTCGTCGGTCGACGTGCCCTGCACCGAAAGGCTGAAGGAGTACCCGAATTCCCCCAGGACCGGCAACAAAACGCAGAAGTCGTTCCAGCCGCTTCATGGCTCGTCCATTCAGCCACCGCGAAATTAGCCGGAAGCCTTAACGTTTCCCATTCGTGCCGAAAAGGCCAACAACCATCTTTTCCCGCCGCGTCGACGACGTGAGGAGCATTGTCCCGTTTCGCGGGACTTCTCCTGAAATGGTAGAACGTGGACCAATGAGTCGTAGTGAGGGGCCTCAGGAGTGAGGTCAAGACTGTACGAAACTCTCTCAACAAGAAGTAGCCGATGTCTTGTTTTCCTAAGACGTCTGAGTCTAAGTCGACGGTTGTGGAGGAGGGTGGCCGGATGGAAGAGTGTCGACTGACATCGACTGTGAAAACTATCGGACCAATGGAGCCTGCCGGCCTAGTTTGTGGAAATTCTATTTCCGTCCGGCTCGTCGGCTCTACGCCGAATTCTATCGGAGTCTCCGCCCTAGGGTTGTATGTACATCTTCTGCAAGAGAACAGAATCGCTGGTCGTTCCTCTCCCGAGGTGAATTTCCCCCATGACCTCGATGAAAACGTCCAGGGATACTCAAAATCCCGAAAGTCGCCAGGGCCGAATCCGGCTTCCGAAACCGAAGAAATGCTCCGAGCTCTCTAGCCATGGTTCGTTCCTTTTTTGCCGTAATTAAAATCCCGAAAAGCTGGACGAATTGAACGGCGTTCGAGTTCCGGATGATTCGAATACTTGGTCCAATAAAAATCGCGCGGAAAAATTCGGCAAATTGGTTAGAACTCTCGGTCAGAGTGCTCTCGGGTTCCCCCAGATGCCATCCGTAGAGATGCTAGGGAGCCAGAGCAGAGAGACCGAAGGGAGCATCCGAGAGAGAGCTTCTCGGGAAAAACTTGAAAAATGTCCACTAGTGGGTGCGCGGAGACGGATAGCGGAACACTCGAGGAATGTTGCGTCCACACGCCCGACTGCCGGAATCGACCGCCCAGGGTCACAAGAAACGCCGGCTATCCCTGCCCACCACGTCGGTCGCTTAAAATTTAATAAGCGTTGCGTTGTCCGACCAGTGAGCCCGGAATCCGTCGACATTTGAGTTCATCCGAGTGGATCGCCGCGATGGGGACAGAAGCTAGATGGAAGTCGATGCTGAGACTCGATCACGAAACCCGGGTCCTCCATAGGTGTTGGACGGAACCTCGATCCGCATTCGCTCGAGGCTCGTTCGTCCCGGGAGCGAATGTTATCATCAGGCCAGACTACACCTAATAGTGACGCGTCTATTTCCAGATTGCCCGACTCACTTTCGTACGACGAGGGGGCTTTCATCGAGCCTCTGTCTGTAGCGGTAATGGCCTGCCGTCGAGCAGATCTAAAATTCGGAGAGAAAGTTCTTGTCACCGGAGCCGGTAAGTATGGAAAATGGAGGCCAGGGTGTCGAGTGGTTGTCGCCCACGTTTTTCTGATGAGTAGCAGATCTTGAGCTCTTCAAACGAGAAGTGTACACCTAGTACACGGACCGAAAAAAAAGTTCAAGTGATTCCGTAACTCTTTCCTTTTTCGCGACTGTTCGCCATCGTCTCGATATCTGAGACGACGATCCAAGTCCCCAACAGCGAGATTCGATTGAAATGCTTCCGTCCAGAAGCATTCCGCAAACGAGAGGAAAACTGCGGCTTCGTGGGAGCGCCGTTCTCGAGAACTCATTCCGGAATTTCCTCGCGCGTCTCGCTGCGGGAACACTACTCGGCTGTTCTAAAACTGCTTTGAATCAAACAAAGGCCAACAACGGATCCACGCCCTCAGAAAGAATCGCTTGAGGCAGCAAGAGAATACATTCGCAATTATTTCTGCTTGTTGACTTAGTTAGTTGACAACGCGTCCCTGAGTCTTATTGTGTCAAGCCAACGCTTTGTCTTCCGCCCCGGGATTTGTTTGATCCTCCATTCAGGAACGTTCCCTTTTTCATGGGAGTGTATGCTGTTTTACAGGGCCGATCGGTCTGCTGAACTTCCTCGTGGCCAAGGCGTTCGGGGCCTCAACTGTGGTTGTGACAGGTGAGTTGTCCGCTTCTCTTTTTGCCGACCCTGTCGGAACTTGAAGGACATGTAAAAAAAAGAACATCAGGATGCAGCAGAGCAGCAGGGAGCCGAGAGCGGATCCCACGTGAAGCAGTGCGGTGACCGAGCTTCATGTGGCTCAAAATTTGCGGCGTTTTCTTCCGTTTCATTACTTCTTATTGTCGTGGTTTTTATGGGGGCCATTCTGGCCGAGAGCATTTCCGGTGAGTTGATCCCGAAAATTCCACCACGAGAGCCCGGACCGCAAGCTCCGATGACGTCAACCGGCGTCCTGCCTCAGCTTCTTGTGTTCTTCACCTCTTTCCACCTCTTTCCTGTTCTGTCACTCGGGAAAGCGTCTTCCTGGAACGCCGTCGTTCGCTTGCGAGAGCAAGTTTCCTTCGTCGCCGGCAATTGAATCGGATCGTCTCAATTCGGAAAGACTCGCCCCTGTCGTCGTCGACTATATCATCGTTTGAGGTCTCGGTACTGTCGACGGCTCTGCTTCCCTTCGTCGAGTTTTTCCATCTCCACAATGAAGCACTTCTGCCTTCAACGCACAGCTTCGAAGGGAGCCGAGATTTCCCCGCGCGAAACGAATGGGATTCACGAGTGCTTCTCGTTCGCATATTGATGACATTACGGTCGAAGCGGCGGCATCGGCTTAAGCCGCGCTCCGAAAGTTTCTCGTTTTCCTTCGAGTGCCGCTCTGAGCAGGATTCGGGATCTCATTTCGTAGTATCAATCAAGACCCGATGCTTCGAGACCGTTTTCGGCGCTCAATTCCTTCGGTCTGTGAGAGGTTTATTTTCCCCAGAAGTTTCCGGAGTCAATCCGAGGACGCGTTCCGATGTTTTTTTCGCGGCCAGACCCTTCGCCCCCCCAAGGAGGGATTCCGTTGAGCTTCTCGACGGCTTGCGTGCTCGAACCCGCGAAAAAAATTGAATCATTCCTCTCTTCTCTTGCGATCACGGTCGGCTCTCAAAAGTTTCTCGGCAGAGAATGCGATCCGTTTCACGTACATATTTACGTTTTTGATCGAGCATCGTCGGCCGTCGTCGGGATAAGCGCTCTCGGGGTAGCCTCGAGCTCATGGGGGAATGTAATAATTCGCAGCGAGATGCCCCATTACACCGTTCGCATGCGCTCATCGCCTCCCGGACAGTAATGGAGCTTCCAGTTTCCAACACTACGTTGAGCTCCCTGCGACACGACAATGCTTTGCAGTTTTTCTACTTGTGTTCCCATCAGATCGATAGCTTCGGACGATCGTGGGGACCGGGGTGATTTATTGTGGGCTGGAGCTGGCAAAGAAACTTATTGCTCAGACTGAGATAAGATCTGTCAGTTCGCTCCAGAAGTCTCGCGTAGGGGGGCAGGAAGGGAGACTGACTTACTGGCTGACAAGAGTATCGCAGTCAGAAACGAGTTCTTCCGTATTTTCATGAGCACGCTCGACTTGCGATCACGAGTTTTTATGCATGTGTAGTCCTAGACAACATTCATAGAGAGGGGGGAAAAGGAGCGGAGAGGCACATAGCGAGTTCCCAACTATGTAATATGAGAGCTGCATGAAAAACGATGTCTGTCCGCTCAGCACACAAACAGAGGCGGATCGGCCGCGCTCAGACTACGAGCCACAAACACCCATGTGAGGACACTTGTTGTGTCTTTCCGCGGGTCGAACTTTTTTCAAGCGTCACTCTGTATGTTGCGGCGAGTCGATCCAGCCAGCCGGAAGACATGACCTCCGATGCGACAGTAGATCGCCAGATGGCGGCGAGCATCGCGATGCGGATTCCTCCTCACCGCGAATGTCGCAGCCGATAGCACTTCTTCCTCTTGAGTACGGGCTCATCCTTCGAGAACATCAGCCGTTTCCCGTCGTTCCTCCAATTTCATTATTTTCACTCCCAAGCGATTCTCCTTCTTCCATTCATTCATCGTCCTCTTTCCCTGCTTCCAGATATAGTTGAGAGCAAATTGGAGCTCGTACGGTCTCTCGGCGCTACCGGGACTGTTAACGTCAAAGGCAAAACCAGCGAAGCGATCTCTCGGGAGATCCTGGCAATAACCGGATCAGCCCCTGAAGTTACTCTCGAGTGCTCGGGCGTCGAGAGTTCGGTGGGCCTGGCTATCAACGTGAGTTTTTCTCATGCTCGTTCATCCTAGAACATTTTTCCCCCTCGGAATTAATCTCTTGGGGAATTTCCGCGGCCCACGCAGATAGCGGAATTTCAGCGCCTGATGTCATCTGGCACCGTTCATGAGCGGTCCGCGGCGGAGATTGACGTACCTACATACGTATCCACATGGGGTGCCTGTCAGACAATTAGTCGTCGGAAACCCATTGCCGGGCTTTTTGTCCCACGGTACCCTTTTGATTCAGAGGAGTGTCGCGTAAAGAAACTCAGTCTGCTGCGCCGCTGATATAGCGTCGTTCCCTTCAATCACACGAGATTCGGTCGCTCCGAGCGAGATCGAACTTTTTGTAGAGAATGATTGTCTCGACTGTTCAGATCATCCAAACTCCCCGCAGAAATCAGCTGTCGACTTCATTATGAACAAAATTGCGCGACGGAGCGGCGACGGAATCCAAATGTTCAAACATCGCGGGTCTCGGGGAATTGAGCTCTTTTAACGAGAAGCTTTATTTTTGGACAATTGTTTCTCTTGATTTCCTGCTTAGCGTATTCATGGCATAAGACTCAATTCGTAGCGGGATTATGGTATCGCGTTTCCTGGAATTATTCTCGTTTCGGCTCTAAATTTAGCGTCGCATCGGAGCTTGCCTCGGGACAATTCTTGAGTTTCGATGCCACGATTGGAAGACGGTGAATATCGCGCTTAAGCGACCCCGGCGGCGAGCGAATTCGCAAGTAACACTATGTTCTGCGGGTACGGGACGGAGAACGGGTGCGCCCGCAAAATTTTCGTTTTCCCCGTACTGAAAGTCTCCGAGCATCTCTTGAGCGAGGATCAAATAATGTACATCATGAGTAGGTAGATAGTGATCATGGTGTAAGCATGAAGCATGACATGACGATTCCGCTTCTAATCGGAGAGTTCCTTCACATTCCGGCATCCCGCAAGGGTGACAATGCTTTTCATTCGGCGCTGAAAGCATCGGATGCTCGCAGCTCTCCGGAATCAGGAGCGCATCCTCGGACCTCCCAAATTAGGTACCTGTGAGGATATGATGCATCGCTCACGTAGTGTGTCCTCAACATTCTCAAAATGCCATGGGAACACTGGCGTACCGCTCGTCGAGGGAACAGAGTCGACGCGACGGCGTAGTAATTCTTTCCTATTTTGCCGTCGAAAAGCCACAGGATCACGAGACGCCCGCGGGAGACTCGAGCAGACTTCTGGGTCAGCGGGCACTCGGCTTCGGCTGTACTCCTCATATTGAATTTGGCATCGGTGCGCGAGAACACACAAAATCGTATCGGGAGTCCCATGCGCAAACAATATCCGTTTCACAGCCCATTGATCAGGGACTTCGCCTTGCACACACCTTGCCAAGAGCGATACTCGGAACGCCGAGTCGACTGTCAACAGGCTTTAGCGTCTTGGAACATGACTCCCGGACGACGATTCGATATTGGTGGGGTCAAACGCGGTTCGTCGAGACGTGTTTACCGCATCGATCCCTCCGACCTCTTGGGTGAAGCAGAGAACTTCCTCGACCCTCGCGGAAGTCCCCGTGTCTCTAGACTGTGCATATTCCGCGCATTCCTGTTCTCGAAGGTCTCTCTTGGTGCCCTTTCGGAGCGCGACATCCAGGAGCGAGTCGGATCCGTGATAGAGATTTAGGAGAAAGCGATGTTCCTGTCATCTTCCCGATATGAGCCGGCCCGGAGATCCTCCCCCGCTTTCGCAGACGGTCGGTGGTATCGGAACGAAAAATGTCGACACTGAAACTACGACGATTTCGGTGTTGTTTCTCTCCCCGGTCATCTTTCTTCCGGTAGCGAGTTTGCTGACTCGAGCAGGTCCACATTGCCCGTCGGAGCGGTTGGCCAGCTCTTGGAAAAGACGGGTCGTGGACATCTGTTCGTCATTTCTCCACCTTTCGATAGCCAGCTGTGAGCTTCGTTCGTTTCGAGTTCCCATCACTTCGAAGATCCTTCCGTTCGACAAGGACGTTAACGCACCCAGCCGCGCTCTCTGCTGGCCTCCTCGAAAGCTACGTGACGACCAAGAATGTTTCTGGAGCGTCCGGCTCACTAAGTCGATCGGCCGGCGCGTTTTTTTCCTCGAGAGCCCATCTGGAAGAGAAACTCGGAAAAAACGTTTCTGTTGACTCGACAAGAATTTGATCGAGAAGGCAAATTGTGTTCAGGTTCGAGAGAACGGTTCCGGCCAGCGTTTCTCTCGCTCCGCGCCAAAAAGAATGGTTCCGCGGCTCAGCGCTCGTTACGACGGCCAGGCACGAATCGTAAGACAGAGGGTGGAGGCTTTGATTACTAACTCGGCCTTCGCATGCAGACGAGTCACGGGAGATGAGTCTTGGAGGCGTCATTTGGCGAAGGATGACCAGAGTCGTACTGAATTCCCCGTCTCAACTTGAAATGAGAATTCGCAACTTCGCGTGGTTCAGCAAACACGGCTTCCACTTGATCGCTCCGGAGTACGTCTTCGGGAGGATCGGCGAAGCCCAGCACATTTCGAGCAATCCCTTCTCTCTGACGGTTGTGTTCCGAGGCGAAGGTCGTGATGGAATGGATCGGAGACGCCTAATCCGTAGGTCAGGGGATCATTCAAGTGCTTAGCGACTCTAGAGTCTAGACCACAGGACATATGTCGATGTCTTTGTCGAAATTATTTTTTCGCGTCCGCCATATACGCGGCTCTTATCTGCATACAAGTTGGACTTCGCGGCAGGCAAGCCCTCAAAGATCACCGATGCTCTTATGAACGCCCGCACAGCCGCTATGATTGGCTTCTGTTCCTCCCCTCCGGTAGCAATCGGCAGGGATATTACTTGGAACAACTCCTTTGACGCGAGTGTAGGCCACCGACAAGCCTTGCGCTCCAATATCTCAGACAGTTCCTGTCTCGGGGCGTCCCTAAACATATAACGGAGGATTATTATTCTCTCCTGATTTAATATTTGCTGTCTTGCGCGATATCGGAGGCCCGGGAGAAAATCCGCGGAATATTCCCGGGGAGTCGTGTCTTCAGTCCACGTGCCTCCCGAGCTACATGAAGCGTCTACAATGAGCCGATGAATTTACGTGGGCGCCGGCAAATTTTTGAAAGAAGATCCGTCAATGTCCCCTCCTCCCTCGTGACGTGGGAATTCCGACGGAAATGAGGCCCCCACGGCGTTGGGCAGCGCTCAGAATTCGATTGCATGAGGTGGAGGACCGGCGGAGGAAATTCGAGCGATCCAAAAGCTCGGATCGACGCGTCGTGAATAACTTGTCGCGTCCTGGGCCAGCTGTTCCGACAAAAGAGATCCGTGTAGGTTCTGTAAGAAGTTTTCCCGGGGTCTCCGCTCGAAGCTCGCGACGGGAGGAATAGCGAACTCGCTGGGGAAGATTACCTTTCGGCGACCGTAGTTGAAGGAGTCAAAGAAAACTCTCGCTTGCTCTGTCGTTCCAATCTGCCGTAGCTGGAATCGATTCTCGCCAAGAAACTGCATCATTCGTACAGAGGACGAGGAGAGCTGTGCCGCTCTTTGGAATCGACGGACCGAGGACCGAGCTTCAAGGCTCCTGACAAATTCGGTCTTGACTCACAAGCTCAGAGGAAGAGAGACGAAACGAGGTCGAGAAAGGAGCTACTGTTTCTCCGGGCTCGAGGCCAGTGATTCTTCTTTCCTTGCCTTGTCATGTAGATAATAACACCCGCATCTCTTTTTATTCGGTTCTCAAAGCTACTACTAAAGGGACTGCTCTTGATTACATCCAGGGCTCTCAGGCGGCTTTAATGCCGGGAATTCACGGTATCTCTCGGCTCCTGTGGAGACCCTGTCTCGGAATGCCGTAAATTCGGTGCGCTCCAGTAGTGGCGGACGAGGGCGGCCGGAGGAATTTTTGATTGTCGTAAGCAGCGATGATTCCGCGATCGTCCGCGCGAGCTGACAGTGCGACTTTTGTTTGTGACGATGTGCGAGGTTACGCGCTGAGGAAAGTCTCATGCATGAAGGCAGTTGCGGGAACGAGCTGTACCTTGTGTGTCCCATAGTTTGTCGCTGAGCGCAAATCCTCCCCCTCGACTTGATAGATTCGCACCGTGATCGTTCGGACAACTCGCGAACATGATTTTGTGAACACGCGTACCAAGGAATAGATTTCCGTGTCCTCTTTTTTCTGTGTGCGACATTTCTTATCTGGGGGGGGGTCTCGAAACTGGCTTCGTGGAGATTGATGGAAGGAGAAGTCGCTCCTCCTGCTGGACCTAAGCTCCCGTTTTGCCTTAACGACGTGGCGGAGATGCTCTCTCACTTTGCAGCGGCGAAGGCGGCAACAGCACGAACGTTACAGCGATTGAGAGAAACTCGAGAGAGTTCATTTAGGATTTTTTTGCGGAGCTGCGTGCAGCATCTGGCGCAGCTCCCACCGTCCGGACGCACTGGGCCTCGCAACTCGTGGATCGGTTGGCCAGGTTCCTTAAGACCCGCGAAAGCTGGACTTAACGTTATGCTGCTACTATGTCTGGGGGATGCGAGTCCACTGAAACGGCCGAAATATCTCCAGGACGCCCTCCATGAACACGGGTGTAGTTATGCTAGAGACAGCTCCAACAATAATTTTTCCCTGTGACCAAGCAATAATGTCAGTCTATTTTCCCATTCCAAGGTCACTCGCCAGGGCGGCCGTGTCGTCATGGTCGGTATGGGACCGCCGCAGGTCAAGGTGCCTCTTGTAGATGCAGTGATCAAGGAACTCGACATACGGGGAGTTTTCCGCTATGCCAACTGGTGAGTTGCATTAGATATCTGAGGTCTCATCAAATTAATTCTCCGATCGAGCTCCGGACCATTCGATTCTGGTGAGTTGCTACCTCGAGAAGAAACCGAATCGCTCAATCAAGGGAAACCATTCCTCTGCGCTGTGCCCGCGCCGGAATGTGCACGCATTCGGATATGAAACGAAAAGATGCGATGGAAATTGATCACTATGGAGAGCTGGTGAGCCTGAGTTTCTCGGGCTGCGAGTGATTGCTCCAGAGCTCGACCTATGTATGTGTGTTCGATGATCGGAGGCGTTCGATGAACAAAGACTTCTCTCAAGTTTCCGCCGAGGCTCCGGACGATGGGGCAACGCCGACGCACTGATTACTCCGACGCTTATCCCTGCCATCAGAAATGCAGTCGCTTGCTCGTTTCCTCTTCCGGGACTATGGCTGAGAAGTTTGAAAATATCTCTCAACGAGCCGGCTGCGACCGTCCGTGCCGACATCTATTCATAATTCAAACAACGAGCACATTCATGGAGACGATCGTGTCGGGAATTCGTAGACGCAGAAGTCCAGACGAACCCCGGAAGTACGAAGGACTACCTGACATTGCGAGCAGCAAGGGATGCCGCGACCCCGAGATGCTTCTAGGTACAGCCGACTGGAGTCTTCACTCTCAAATGCTCTATCTATGGAGGATCGGTCTATGGAGTCAGAGGTGTACCCCTAATGTATATGTTGACGAGGAATATTCGTAATCGAGATTGCACAAGCTGTTGCGGAATGCATGAGCTCTATTTTTGGAGAATCTCGCGAGGGAACAGCTTGCATAAGCGTCTACACCAGCAAGCGACAATATCATGAATTCAACATGCCATTAGCCGGTGCCGTGGGGAGAGGGGGGAGGGTGCAGGAGCAGTCGACCCCTGGAGCTGAGATCTTTCTTAGGACTCCTCAGTTACGTCGGCGTTTCTCCTCAAATGCACGCGATCAAGGCTTCCTCCGGAGCTCTCCTGAGGCGAAGGACATCCTCGAGAGACCCCTCCGTCTGGCCTGTTATGACCGATTGAGAGGTGGTCGAAGCGCAGCGAAATGAGCAGCAACACCATGGAAAGCCCTTTGGGCATTTGCGATCTATAGGAGTCCATACGGTTTGGTCTCAGTGTCGAAACAGAATCCCATAGGAACTCGTCCCGAACAGATTATGGTCAAGAGTTGGCTTGTAACCTTGTTTCCCCCCTTCCTCCCGGACCCCCCAAGAAAGATGAGGATACGACCCATCCTACTCTTCCCTGCGCCCAATGCAAGCAACGAGAATGAGACGACCAAACTCTCGATCAACCTGGAGGGAGAGAATACGAACTTGGGGATCCCCGAGCCTCACTTAATCGACGCTCTAGGAATGTTTACTTCGAAGAAAAGCGGATGAACCATCAAGGGACGTGCACTGTCTAGATGAATGCACATCTCGTCAATTATTCAGCGTGGAGCCAGACGCGGCTCCCTCGCTGCCCGGAACAAACTCAACGAAATTCGATCGGACACTTTCCTCTCAGGGAAGTAGCACTGTGGCCACATCAGTGTGGCCACTGAACATCAGCGGCTCGAAAGACGGCATGGAGGCCTTTGTTGGTTCCGTTGTCGTTCGCCAAGCGACGATCTCTTGCGTTCACGTCCTCCCGTGCGACGGCGGTTCCTCGCGATTCGAGCGCATCGTCGCGCGGATATTCCTAACCTCCCTCAATTTTGACGGCGAAACTTTTATCGGACGCTTGACCGCTCGAGTGGTCAGACCGCGGGTCATAGTGGGTAGGACCAATGCGGCAGCTAGCTCCTATATCCGGCAGCTCTCTCTGTCACTCTGGAATACACCAGAGCGGTCTGCGGAGTTCTTTTTCCCAATGGCCCTGTAGATATCGGGTCTGCTTGTGAACGAGACAGACGGATGTGGCCAGCTGCCCTTGGTGTTGATCGTGGGCTTTATTACAGCGATATGGCCCCCGTCGTGGCTCCCTCGTCGTATGCGAAAGAAAGTCGATATTAGGCCCGAATCTTTCTGATCTATCCTCCTTTGTTGGCCAGGGTCACCATCTCGTCGACACAGAATCATAGCAGCCGGGCCTGAGTGAGCCCTCCTGTACATCGGAAAAAAATACCGGCTTCGTCTAGACATGCAGATTCTTCCTTTGTGGCGACTTTGTTCGAACCCGAGGCTAGCTCTGGTCGCATCGATATACGCGAGAGCTTCGACCTCCTATACCGAAAGAGGAGCCCAAGCTCCCAATCACCTAGGTGTTCTCACCTCGGTTTTCCTCCCTCACTCTTCTCCTCTTCGGTCTCTCCGGATCGTTCTCTGATATCCGAAGCTAGGTCGAATCGAGGGAGGTGTCGGGGGTGCGAACTAAGTCGATGACTGAAACTGCAAATATCAGGACCGTGTCATCCTGTAACTGGGCATCTGGCAATGAGATCTGTCTGCCGCCAAATCATGCACTTTCTGGCCACGAGCCTATGAGCGGATCGAAATTCGTGAACTCGAGTCTCGGAAAGCTATCGAAACAGACCCGACGATGATCTTGACCATAAGCTCATCTTCTCGGGACGCCGCTGTCTCCGTGAGGGTCTCCTTCTCTGAGTTCTGCCAAATCGAGCATCTATTTCTCATGGCGTCGAATCGGAACAATTTCCGCAGAGAACATTTTCGCTTTTGACGACGGAACGAATCTGTAGTTAGATGAACTTTTCTTCGGAAAAAACGAGTCCGGCAGGATTCGAACCTGCAATCTCCTGATTCGTAGTCAGGCGCGTTATCCGTTGCGCCACGGACCCACGCTCGTGATCGACCTCCCCCGGAGTCCCACTCGTTTCGAATGCCGTTCGGCGAATCGAAATGGGACATCAATATCAGACGACCTTCGGAGAGTACGAAGCGACCGAGTCGTATTTATAGTCTCACTCCTCGTGGGTCCCGCAGATCAAGTTCGGAATATGCTGTCTGGCTTGATATTTCTCAATATAATTTCGTTTGCAGCTACCCGACCGCGATCGAACTCATCGCCTCCGGCAAGGTTGACGTCAAGCCTCTCATAACACATCGCTTCAAGCTCGAGGAGGCCGCGAAGGCGTTCGAAACTACGAGAACAGGGGCCGGGAACGCGGTTAAGGTCATTATAGACTGCAGCAACTGAGCCAGAACCACCATCGAGTTCTCCGCAGGCTGCTCGAGGCGAACGAGTCGGACTGAGCTTGAAAAGTTAACTCAACGAGAAAAACAAAGGAATAAAAATGCGGATAATTGGGAGAGCCGCGCGTTCTTTGTTTTGTTTATTCCCAAGCGATTAATTAAACATGCTATTGACTAAGTGAGCGACCCAATTCTCACTGGTTGAAGAGCCTATCGATCCCCTCATCGATCATCGTGCGCGGCGATTCCTTGTAGAACATGAAAAGACCTTGAATCTGTGCCATGCTGACCTTGCTGCGTTTGTTCCGAATTTTTTGGACGAACTTCTCCGCCAGAGCATCATCTACGTTCGCGTAGAACCTTCTGAAGATGCCCTTCAATTGATAATCGCTGGCATCACCAATATACTCTTTGACATCAACCCGTCCCGGTCGAATCAAGGCAGGGTCGAGACGATCGATGTGATTCGTTGTCATGAACAGCAGTCTCGCCTCGGCTGACACAACCCCGTCGAGCATATTTAGCAGTCCGCTGAGCGTCACGCGATTTAAGCCCTCGAAGGCTCTGGACGATTCTTCCGTTGGTTTTTCGCGGGAGACGAAACACGCGTCGACGTCCTCCAGCAGTACAATAGTGTGCGGAGGCGTCACGTTCATCAGATGGTTCAGTCGGTCGTCACTCAGAGAGCGGTCGCTGAGATTCAGAACACAAATTCCGTACTCGAGCTCCCCGGCTAGCGCGGTAATGAAACTGCTTTTTCCACTGCCCGGCGGCCCGTAGAGCAGATAGCCTCTTCTGTACGGGATCCCACGCTCCAGATACCAGTCGGGGGTCGCAATGAACTCTCTGACGTCCTCGATGATTCTCTCTTTTACATTTTCGTCCAGGATCACGCTCTCCAAGGGTCTTCGTTCCCTGGGAGCCCCGAACTGCCGCCAGTCTGCACCGAAGGCGGTGTACATGAGGGTTTTCCCGACATCTTTGTGGAGTGCTTCTTTCCGCGCTCTCTCGAGTATATCGAAGTAGATAGAACGGTCTCGACCGAACGCCGTCAACTGCACTGTTTCGAAGGGCTGGCCCTCGAAGTTGAAGCCCTGTGAACCAGGCTCTCGGTTCCTCTCCACTCGGATCCACGTATTCTTGTAGGAGAAGAAATGCGTGCCGACGCTTGGGATGAAATCGAAATGTGTCTTCACTTTCCCAGTCTCCAATTGTTCGAACTTGGTTTCGACGCTAAGGTGTTGTGTGTGTTTGGTGTTGTTCGTGATCCATTGCAGGAGCCACTCGTAGCATTTGTCACGTCTTGAAACTTCCAGAGTCATCATGAAATGCCGTCGGAACAAAATCATTCCCGCTTGCATTCCCTTCCGAGCGGCGGCGGTCAGTACACCGACTCCGAAGAGGCCGGCACCGGCTCCGAAATACGGGTTATCGGCCAAGCCGCCGACGATATCTGAGATCGCCATCCTTTGATCACAGGTTCCGATTCACGAGTAGGTTCCGATTCAGAGCATCACGAAGTCTCGAACTCTGCAGATAGGAGAGGTTTCCGATTAATCGGCTCGTTCTGGCACCCGATACGACATCGTGCGCGGAGCCGCGCTGATTTCGAACACATGGGCGCCGCCATGTTTGTTTTGGTTTCCGCGCATGCGCCCCGCGAGGTATCGCTCGAGGTTCTCGTTCATCGAACAGGGCGACCGACGGCTCAATGGTTGACTTCTATGAGCCCTACACAGGGATCGAAACAAGGAAAACCGGAAACACTCACAGTCATAGACCGTGCTCGTTGGCAAACCGTTGGAGGATCCACACAAATGAGTGTGCAGTCGTGGCCGAGTGGTTAAGGCGATGGACTCGAAATCCATTGGGGTCTCCCCGCACAGGTTCGAATCCTGTCGGCTGCGGGAATCTTTTTATCATTTTCGAATAAGGGTTGTGGGGGGGGAGGGGTTCTCTATCGGGGACAGAGAAACTTCTGTCGGAAATTGAGCTTTTTGGAGGAGGTAGAATATTTTGTGACGTACTCCGTGATCTGTGTCCCCAGCGCAGAATATTCTCAGAGAACCCCAAGCCCCGAACTATCGCGCATTTCTGACTGAATGTCAACTAGAGAGGACAGCTTTATTAGATCAGATCCATAACGACGTTCGAAATTCAGAATATTCCTGCACAGCGAACCGGCGGCGTCTCCATCGAGCTGGATGAGGTCGCTGACCCGGAAAGAACACCGTTGGAATTCACTGGGTGTCGCGAGGGCGCAAAAGCCTCCCGCGACTTTTTGAGAGTTCCCTCCGGAGTCGAGCGACCTGCACTCGAAGTACATACGACCCCTGGAGTGTCAAGGTTATGCCCGGGTCAGGGATGAACAAGTCTCCACATCGAGCGCACAACAGGAGCTGTCGGAATGTTGGAGGAGGCGTTTTCCCGAGATTTTCCTACCGAAGGCGACCAACGGAGTGATATGTTGGACTTCTTATCGGAAGCCGGAGCTTTTGCCAGCACCGTCAAGCGGTATGGGTCTCCACAAGCTTTATGCTTCCTATCGGTTTCCCTAAATCAGAGTCATCTACATACATAGGAAATGTGATAACTTCTTCATACACATGAGTAGAGGGGCATTAGGAGACGTACATATTCACAGACCCGGTTCGGTAGCAGGACTGGGGAGCGCTATTTTTCGCGAGCTGCCTCCAGCCGAGGAGGGGCCAGACGGACCGACCGACCGAACGACCGACCAGTCGACCGTGATCGCTACGAAGACAAAGTGTGGGCTCACAAGTCGTTTCTCCTTCTGTTTACTGTTCTGGGCGTTGTTCCGTCAGGCCTGTAGGCTCAGCGCGCGAAGACGGAGAACCGAAAAAGTTACGCGAAACGAAGGACTGTCGAGCCGGCTGCGGACTCGTTTCGACTCGCTCGTGAATAGAGAGACCCCGGAAACAGAGCTGTAGCGTTGTAGACGACCCCGTCCGAGCTGAAGTTCCATTTAGAGTTTACAATGTTGGCCCTTGCTTTCCGATAGGGGCAATGCGTCGCGAGGAAGCGTGCCGGGAGCCATCTCACCGCCCGCGAGCAGCTTCCAATGCTCAGATAACGAGGCTGACTTTGCTTTATTCCTCTCCCGGATGGTTTCGAACTCGTATCGAGCATTGCGAGCGCCTCTACATTTTATGGACCTCAAGATAGGTTTGTAGTCTACACATTTCTTGCTCTTCTCCGAGGAATGAGGTCTCGGACTGGTTGCATTCATTGGGAATCTCTCCGCCATGGGCAAGACGCTCCAGTCCTTTTCGACCGCCGCGCCGTAGGATGAGGGACCCAATTCATAAGCCCCCGAATCGGATGGGCGTCGAACTTTTGGTGGCTGAGCAAAATCTCGAATAGCGCAGCCTCTTCCTAGATCTCGTTTGATTTTCGAAAATTCATGGCGCGACACAGCCATGACCGGGAACAAATCACCATCGCGGAACTTCTCGAGTCCCACAGGGATGCCATGACTCGCTGTCCGAGACGGAGAAGGTCCTTGGGAATATCGCGATGTTTCTTTCGCGAAAGAAAAAAGTTTCCAAAACATAGAAACCGAATCCTCTCATGCGGATAGAGCACATCTCGATTTAGGAATCAGACAACACGATCAGGAAGACAGCTCCGGCGTAGTCGAACGACTGAAAATATTTTTCTCTCCTCATCCGAGTCCCGGAAAAGATTCGAGGAGCGATCCGTCAGAGTTCGAAATCACCGAACCAATGTCTTGCAGCTGAAATCTGAATGAGGCGTAAGGGCGAACCTAGGTCGTGCCATGGAGCTTGTGAGATCGGAGCAAATCGAATGCTACGGGGACCTACGGAGAAGCCCCAGAGCCGATTCCCAGGTGTGGGGGAAACTTTTGCCTCATTCAGTGTATCCTAGCTCCTGATTGATTAATACCTTTCCACTCCCTTCGTCGAACACAATATAGATCTGACTCGGCAAAACGGCAGGAAGACTGGGTATCGATCCATGGCTAAAACCCCTAATTGCGCTGCGGTCATGAGACCTGGTATGGCAGCCCTGCGAGACCACGCGTTTTTCTGACTAACGGCGGCATCAGACCGATACAGCTGTCACCGGTGGTTCGGTGCGAAGGAGGCGCGATATCGTGCACCCGCATGCATCGAGTCGTAGAGGGCTCGCCCCCTTTCTCATTACTGAGATACGTTCTACCGACAGGGTCCCGGGGGTTTGCAAGCTCTTAGAAAAACTTGTATCTAGAGGCACTTGTCTCATCAGTCAGTCGTCGACCTGGAAATTCAGCAGCTGAATGATACCGACTAGTACGCTCGTGTGCTGCTGCTGCTGCTTAAGTGAGCCCCACCGAAAGCAGGATCATTCTGCCGTAGCCGTCTATTACGCACATTATTCATTCGTCTACTCGCCGTATACGGGAATAGTACTCTGCTCAGCCGCTGCCGAGGGCAAACAAGAAGAAAGCGAGCGGTAGAGCTCGCGGTCCTCTGCGCGACTCACTCAGATACCGACGACCGAGTTACACCGGACGACGACCTTCCCCGCAAGACGAGCTTCCTCTCGTGGAATCGCTTTGCAGTCTCCGGAATTCGAGCTCTCCGGGGCTTCAACTCTATCGTGCCCGTAAAGTCTCGTCAGGAGCCTCCGTGCAATTCCCATGTGGGGTGCAGGCGGTGACCGAAAAGGAGCAGAAACCGCGGAGGATCCTATCGTCGGACCGGCGTTGAAAGAGGAATAGGAACGGCCAGAAAGGGCGCAAGAGCAGGTGATTCACGTCAGCAGAAATCGAAGTACAAAGCTCCGTACGAGAATTTATTCCCTGCGCTTCCCGGCCCAAGCCGATCAAAAGCTCCAGCGACAGCCCAATATGCTGGATCCAGTGTCCTGAATAAATCAGAATTTGGCGGTCTGATCCGTCCATACAGTTACCTCTCAGCTTGCAGGCATGCATCTTCATCCATCGATTGAATAAGCGAAGTTCTTACACAGCGCACGATAACGCGCTTATTACTTTAATCGAGACTGGAGGCGAAGCGCTGCGGTCGGTCGCTGGGCATCGAATCGTGGTCCTCCAGCTTTTCGCTCCACCGTTTGTTTACCTTTCGTGATGTTTCGATTCATGTCAGACTGAGATAACTCAACCCCGATGGAGAGATGACCGACTGATCTTAAGAGACGACCTACCGAGAGCTCAACAGCGCATTCGTATCAAAAAGAAAAACAAAAGCCGACGCACCTCATTCGTCGCTGGGTGATCTATCTGTATACAGTATCAGATGACTCGTTGTTCCATCGATGAATCAGCGGCCTAGCTCGTGAAAGCAAAGCCACAAGCGGCTGATACGATGCTACTCCATCTGTTTCTCATTGCCGATAAGAGGAACGTTTCCGAGACGACGACGACCATCAATCGACATTTCCAGGCCGGCAGGAGGCTTATTCGCGGCCTGGTGGAGACCCCTTGTACTCGCTCGCATCCCGGATTTTTGTTTTCGTTTCAAGACCTCCCGGAATTTCGCCTCCCCCCACGTTTATCTTCCTTGATTCTCGCAGTGGATCTACAATGATTGTAGGTTCCGAGATAACATCATATGAATATATGAACAACATATATCATCGTCATATGAAGAATCGATCAGATTTAAGCTGAGCGAAGGTACTCGGTTGAAGAATCAGGCGGAGGCGTCGATATTTTCTCATCAGATGAGGCTCCTCAGAGACGGAAATAGCCGGTGGGCTACGCCTGCGGGAATACGTCGCATACGGTCGGATTCCGATCCGGGAGGAGTCATGGCTCGCGAAGTATTCTGGAAATTTTCTCGACAGAGAACACTTAAAGGTCTCGCGAGAATTATCCCGCACCGGGCATCGTGAAACTTCGGGGATGATGTCTATAGTCTCCAGCCGCTTCTGTACCAAACAACTCGTGGAGCTTTTCCGAACAAATGGACAAACGAACTCCGTCCGATGAACGCCCAGCTGGATGAGAAAGCCATTCACTGTCGAATAGATCGCTAAGAAAAATTTCTTCTTTGTTTTCTGGTCGAATGCAAATGAGTAGAGAGCTAGATTGCTCTCCTGCCTGCCTGCCTGCCTGTCTGCCCGCCTGCCTTCTTCCCCACAAGCCACACAAGCTGTTTGCCCCGCTTTTCATCGGATCACTAGCTGTAAACAGAATAGCAACAAACACCGGCGACGACGCCAGAGACCGTGGCGGCGGGGACGAAAACGATACCGGCATCGAATCCGGCAACGGCGAAAGCAAAAAACGAGCGTGCGGAGCAAAAAAAATCCTCAATCTCATTTTCAAGGCTCGGTCGCGAAGAGCACTACGAGCAACTCTTTCGGCTTACTGCTCTCGTGCTAGATTGGCCGTTGACATTACCGTGAGACCCTCTGAATTTAGCAAGCGAGGAATAGGTCTCAATCCGATCCGTGTGCGCGCACCCACTCGGCTTAGTTTGGAGTGAAAAGGATTTCTTCTCGGATCTTCAATCAAAAGATTCGAAGCTCCGTGGATGAGGGCACCGTCCAATCAAGGGAGGAAGACAACGAGCAAGGGAGCGCATTGATCGTTATGAGATGAACAGTTCACAGG